TAACAGATTCCTTATGTGACAACTCTCACGCAACGCCAAGTATGCATAGCTGAGCTATAATGGTTTGCCGAGCCGTAAAAATATGTTTGCACATCAAATTTCGTGAGTACCTGGTGCTCACACCTTTTTTAAGAAGTTTCACTTTCATGTGTACGGTGCTCAACACGCCTTTTTTTCTTTGAATCAACATAGTTTAAGCATTGTTGATGCTATTTCCATTTGAATAAGGAAATAGCATCATCTACTTTACTTCCGAATTTTTGTTGATTTTATTTCGCTTTTGAAAAGGTAATAATGCATACTGGTGCGAAATAGTTTCAATTGACCTTACTTTCGTTGATGTTGTTAGTTGTTTTATATTATTCTGATGCAAAAACCAGTGAACATTGACTGAACATGCGTGTATGAGAAATATATTTTTTTTATTTCATGTACCTACATTTTAAAAATAACATTTAATTCAGCCCAGTGTTTTATAAAGCAAAATTAGTATCTATTTTATAAACAAAGGTAAATTGAAAACTAAAAATTTTAAATCAAATAATTCAATGTCAATGTCACAAAAATGCTTTCAAACTTTGCACTGAAATTTTTAAATTAAATAGTCAATTCTAAAATTACCTTGTTTGAATTCCACGTTACCACGATACCAAATAATTTGAGCAGCAGGTTTTGCATTTGCCAAAATACAATTCAACGATAAATCCTGATTTTCTCTCACTTCTACTTTGGAATTGTGCGCATATCCTTGTATTTCAATGAACCCAGGTGGAGCTTTAAATAGATCAAAAAAGGTAATTTTTAAAATTAATATGCATACATACATACAAATTTGTTTGTATCTGTATCTCAGACATTTCATCAGTAAAATACTTATTAGAGATTTCTCATACAACAGTCTATAAAAGTGACCAGATATCAAAACAGCGTGCCGAGAAAGAAAGTTACTGTTTCATGGAAGACTCATTAAAATCCCTTTTTTTTGTATCCGAGAGCACACAAATTTGTTGAAATAACGGTTGTTTGTAGCAGCTTACAGGAATCGAGATAGATATACATAGATATGTATATATATATATATATACCAAATACTCAGAATGAATAGGGAAGTCAATTAAGCTATGTATGCCGTCTGAATGTCCAAATTGAGATATCTCAACGAAATTTTGTATATATTAGAAGCCCTTTATCCACAGTAAGTTGGTATTGCAAAATAAATGCAAGAACTACGATATTTCAGTAAATACTAGATCCAAAATTAGTATGTGTAGTAGAGTTTTGGCATAAAATAAGACAATTATAATATTTTTTGAAAATAGGCGTGGCACTTATGGCGTCGCTCACTTTCGAAGAATTGCTAGACTCCGCCTCACCAATACGAAATAAATAAGCTACTTCACTCAAAGCCGACGTATGCAATAATCTTAGCAATAAGAGATTTTTGCAAGCTGTTAGAAAATGGGACACACACTTATGACTACATACATATGTACATCTCGGTGACCGATATATCAATTTCTACCAAACTCAGTGCAATTATTTTCCTTGGGACAAAAACGCAATATGTTGAAAATTATTGAAATCAGACTAAAACTAGGCCCATATCCAAGGGCGCAGTAGGTAGGGGCAGGGGCAGCTGCAGCGTTAAACATTGCATTGGTACAGAATTGAATGAAACACCCATTTGAGTTTCTGTGATGAACAGGATGGAAAAACCCAACGAGAAAAACACTTCCTCTTCCGTTAAATCTTGTT